ATTGAATTAATAATTGAAATATTCTGTGGTTAACAAATGCATTACTAATATTAATATTATGCACAAAATTATTTATAATTAATACAAATAATAATATTTGTTTGTTTGGAGGTCTAAATGAAACGATTGGTAAAGAATAAGTAATTAAAAATAACATATTTCACTGTATAGTGTAGTGGAATGGTATACAGAATATGAATCAAATACAGAATATGTTCAATAAACTAGAATTAAATTTACAATTATATATTCAAACCAATAATCAATTGTACGGTTAATACGGTGTTTGAGTGTGGGATCAACAAAAAGTGCATCAATTGACCAAACGATCGGTTCACTCACTTATCACTGGTATTTCACATCTTATTTTAGTTAACAATTTGTAATTTGAAATCCGTATTAAAATTGTGACAAAATTTTTTGTTACTAGTAATTAAGAAATCCATTCATTCGCACGTATCGTCCCATTTGTTCTTCAAATAGTAATATTAATTTTTTAGTTGTTTTGTAAATCTTATGAAAACTATATGTTTATGAGATTTGTTTTTTGATTATATAATTAGAAAAGTAAAGTAATTGAATGAATATGTGATATAATTCTGATAAATGAATAGAATTAACAAATTTGTTGTCATATATAAGACACCAATTCTTAAGCACCGGTTCTCATCGAAGACGCGGAACTGATTGGTGTCGACGTCATTGAGTCGCTGCCAGAGGATGGAGAGGCGACCGAACGGTTGCCGAGCTTTTCGGCCGACATTCGGGCGCCGGTCAGCGTCTTGAGAGTCTCGCCGTTCTCTTTGCCATCGGGTGTCGGCGTCGGAGTCATTGAGCCGGGAGTGGGTGTCGACGAAGGACTCGGCACATAGCGCTCGTCGAAGATCTTCACCTGTCCTCCGCCGGGCACGTGCTTCACATTGTCCAACGACCCGATCTTTGAGGTGACCTTCCACTCCAACTTCTTGGTCACGACTTTCACTTCGCCGCCATCTGTCAAGCCATCAAATATTGAGTTAAATTTATCATCAATTGTTTAATTTAATAGTGAAAGACATACGAGGTTTGTGTTTAGCGTTTTCAAGGGATCCAATGCGAGGCTTTGCATTCCACGTCAACTTCTGGGTCTCCATTTTCTTCTCTCCGCCGGCTTTACGGCCATTATTTGGGATGAAATTGAATTATCAATCAATTGTTATCGTTATTACAAATACAAAAATGGCGTTAATTTCATACTCGGTCTGTGTTTAATGTTATCAAGCGATCCAATCTTAGACCTGACATTCGTGAGGTTCGGTCCGCGGGCTAAACCAACCTGTGCTTTGATTGGAGGTATTCCTGCATATAATAACAATTGACGACATTTAATGAAAGCCAATTAATTATCACAAAATGAAGTGAATTAAAGAAATTCAAAATACTTTTGTCGGGTCGTGTGGGCGACGGGGACTCACATGTGCTCGTATTGGGTGTCACTAAAGGGTAGATATTAAGTAATCAAGTTTTATAAGTTTTTATATTTACAGTAAACGTGATATATTATATATAAACATTTGCTTTTGATTTAATTCAATGACTTATTATCAGTAATTAAGGCATTCATAAACTGAAATAATACTATAATCCCAACGTTTAAGGTATTTATTGATTGCAAATAAAAGCAAATGATTGCAAAAACAAATGAAAGAATTGAACAGAATTTATAAGAATTTGGATGAAAAGACAATTGAATGGCAAAGTATTGCCACAATTAGCACACATTTGCAAATAGGGGACACGATTTGTGAATTGTATATAAACTTGAATTAAATGATTAAATAAATGCATTAATGAGTTCACAATCCGCTATCAATTGTCAATAATTTTCATTGCAATTCATATCAGTTTTATTCAATGATAAATCCGTAAAGTTTTGTGCATTGTTTTTACGGTTCAGTTAATTATCGACAAAACAGTGAATAATTAACGGATTTTACAATCAATACAAATCGTTTCAATTGTTTTATATATAAAAGTAATAATAAATATATTGTCTGCAAAAAATTGGGAAATAATTTTTAGGCCAAACCTTTAGACATAAAATAATATGATATGAATTGAAATACTGTTATAATTAATGCCTTAACTGTAAACCGGATAATACTTTAAGCAAATTAAATGTTGTATTCAATTAGACATCATATTTGACATCAAAACTTCACTTCTTATAAAAGCTATCATTTATCACAAAAATCTAATATTAATTATTAATTGATATTTTGGCCAATAATTCAATTTAATACACATTTATTTAATGGGTTTAAGCATTGAATGAATGCGGGATTGAATTGCTGTGAATTGACGTGAATTAGCATTAATTAGATGTCATTAAAACAACATTTAATAAATGTATGAAACATATGACAAGTAATGCATTTGGAAATTACATTTAAAGTCATATTTTAAGGCTATTTATGAAATAACGGCATAAATAATAGGAAAAATAATATCAAAACTTGTAATAAAATGACAGTAAATGCCAGTAAACGAGCAAAACGTGTAAAAAGTGTTTATAAAATTAATAGTGAATTAAATATAATAATAAAATACATAAATGAATGTAAATTCATACCATAATTGGTCTTATTCTTGGGATCAGGTGTTTGACAATTAACGGCGATTTTCGACTTATTAGTGGACATTGTTTTGCGTCCAAACAAATGGTTGAGACTTTGATTGGGATTACAATTAAAAAGCAAAGCAAACGACTATTTATTAAAATAATAGCAAAATATTTATAACGAAAGACTGTTAGACGAGAGGAGATGTGACGCTATGTTAAGCCAAACCTCAAATTTATTGATTTAGTCCTCAATAACAGTCTCTTCTCTATATATTCTGCTATATATTTGCACTGACTTTGCGTTTCTATGACTACTCAATGGCTTTTGGGATGAGAGCCAAAGGGATAGAAGAGCACAGACTCCGAGACACAGACACTCTATCGGCACATCATTTCCAGTATAATAGAGATTAACACTTGTTTTTTATATAACTGTAACAATACTTTCCCAAACACTGTCATCAAAGCAACTAATGCTCACTTTATTTTACTTTATTTTTCTTTGATTTGATTACAGAAACAAATTTATGGCACTTTTCTCTCTTAATTCACTTATTATTATTAATTTTATTACTTTTTATTTGATATTAACTTTTCATTCAAACCGAATATTCTGAATGAAATAATTTTTGTCTCTTTTTGTGTTCAAAAAAACTTAATTCACTGAAAATAAAATTAATATTTACTTTAAATTCAATTGAATTCAATTGAGTTAACATTAAATTCACACAAAAAGTAATTTTTTAAAAGTTTTTGTTTTGCAAAATGCAATGAATTTTTTAAAGTAATAGCAAATAATGTTTATTAACAATGAAATCACGAATTTATTAATGAAGGAAATGATGTCTTGTGTGCACCTGTTCTCCAAAACCAATCCCTCTTTCCATAGACTACTCTCCTGTTGTTTCTCCGATCTTATGGTTTATATCCTTATCCCGTATTTCTTGAGAAAACAATTTTAGTTGATATAGAAATTCAATTAACAAAAGCCGCAAATCTATGAAAAACTTTTCATAAACTCTCAACCATTTGAAGGCTGTATTTAAGAGTCAATTGAATTGAATTCTTATATTCTGTTATCTAAATATCTGTGGAGACAACACAACCACTCTTTCATATCATATAACAATTCATAGAAAAAAATGATAAAAATAATAAATTTTATTTGTTAGACAGTAATATAAAGTGATTTAATTGTTTTGTTGATTATTTTTATAATTTAGTGATACTTTTATTGTTTGTCTTATTGAAAGCGTAAAAATATCCATTTGTTTTGAATTTATCTCAAATATTCAATTCAATCGTTAAAATTCATTGCAAATCAAAAAGTCGTGATTTAGACAAACGTTTAGATTTTAATGTTTGATTAAATTCTTATCAATTCTTAAGTATGTTTTGCGTTTAATATTATCATAATTAATATTGAAAAGTTGTAATTGAAAAACCGAGAGCTATTAACCCATAATTAATGTGTACCACAATTATTATTCAGTGTATTATAGACACAACACAAGAAATTATGCAATATTTATTCGTTTGTTATGTAATTTTAAAACAATTAACAAATGTTAACAACTTTTAAAACCATTTATGCCTTATAACACAATAAATATTGAAGACAAGTATACAATACAGTAGTTGTTTCGCAATTCATTTGATTTATTATAAAAAATAGCAATTGTCTTAAATTTATAACAATATTTTATTTTTTGTGTCATTACAACGTCTCTCGTATAGAAAGTAGAAAATAGGTTTTAAAATATATATCTTTTAATTAAATTAAAAATATTTAATGAATAGGTTTCTTAGTTTTTTGGTAAAATCAATAAATAAAATATGTTAACAGTATTTAGAAATTATTAAACAATTTTCAAGAATATTGATAATTAATTCCAACAATTCTTTCGCTCTAAACGATTGCTTAACTTAAATGCTTTGGCCATTGAATTAAAACTAGAAATATTGTCCTAAAAACAGTGTCTAAAATATAACTTAATATCATTCCTGTGCAGAAACAGACGGATCGTATAAAGTCCTCCTTTTCTGTAATTTATTACTCAATTCGTCGTCCATTGGGGCGTAAGAATGCTGAATGAATTAAATATATTAATTATTAATTATACAATTATTACTATCATATAAAGTATAAACAATAATCCATTATTTATATTAACTAAACAAATTGAGGTAATGTTTATAAAGTCTTTAAGGTAACTGACAATAAACATGATATCACTATAAAATCATATATTGTCTGTAAATCTAAACAATATTAAGATAAATTAGTGCAAACATGAAATCCTATTACAGTGCAAATAAGCTATGGTTTATTAACAATTTCGATAACCGTTATAAAAGTTAGAATATTTAAAAAAAACCTTCATTTATAAATGTCAATGTATATTAAAAACGTGTTAAATTATAAAACAATTATTGATATATAGTTTTATATGTGAATTCCGTTATACTTAATGACATTAATAATAGATCTCTTCAGTACTAAACAAATAATATAAAATGTATACTTAAGTAAATACATTATAAAAATCAATTCTACTTCTAATGGCATTCAAATATCTGTATTTGTCAATAAAGTCCATATAAGGGATTAAAGTTATGTAACTTTATATTGAATTGTATTTACAATTTATCGGTTATTCTCATATTAACTCAATATAATAAATTTATTAGTGGGCGGAAGGGATTGTATTGAAAAACTACTATTAAAAATAAATATAGAGCTAACCATTTGTATCATTTTATAATTTCAATGAAATAGATTACATAATTGTATATTTGATTTAATTCTGTGTATATAATGAGAACACATATAAAAGTTTGTGTTTTAATGAACAAGTTTTGTGATATTAATTTAAATGGCATTCAAGTGAATAAAACATTAAGTGTTGTAAGTATAAGTTAAATATAATTGGTAAAATTCTATTCTTGCATCTTATATAAATAAATATTCTTGATTAATTTGCATAATATTTACGAATAGTCATAAATATAATAATAGTCATAATATATTTGATGCTCTCTACTTAATGTATGTTACAAAATAAATTTTAATTTTACTCATATGAATTATTTTAATCATAGGATTATAACTTACCATGTTTTTAATAATCACAAAATTGCTGTGAAGTCTTTGCACTTCACTTTCGTCGTCATCGGGCAATATATCCTATTTATAAAAGTTGTCTTAATTAACATATAATTTAGTGTTTGTTAAACTAATTTGAAGGTTTGGCAGAGGGAAGGGCTCTTTAACTCAATTCCTATTTATTTTAAAATCATATTTGAATCCAAAATTTTGCAAATGTCAGCAAATAATGTTATTCGTCCTAAATATTACTACATTATTGCAAAATAATTTAATTTTAAGAAATTTTAATTCAAATTCATATAAATTGTAGGAATAAACTGATAATAAAGTTAATGAGATTGTCTGAATAATATAATTTTCTCAAAATCTAGTCTATTCTACGAATAGGTACTTATTAAGGGTTTATATTATAAATATCTAATTTGACAAAATCACGCCAATTTTATTTGTAATTAAATCATTACATTGTTTATCAATGTTGAGCCTCGATTAAAAAAAATGTTAGATATAATATGAATTGTATTGAATAATTAAAATTTATATGAATTGAATGAACTTACTTTTAG